GCGTTACGAAACAGTCAGTAGTTGTTGATCTTTCTTGTAGTTTAATACATGGATTTATCGCTCAAGCTAAGTTGAAAAAACGACTTATGTTCAATGTTCAGTTTTCCTCGTTACTCTTCCTGACTCAATAGCTCAATAGCTCAAAAGCTCAATAAGCTGTCGAATGCAGCATTCCGATGTGTGAAGTGACGGCGTTTAGTTTAAACCTCTAAGTCTAGCTTGGTTTCGCTGTAAATCATTTCGTCGCAAGTGTTCAAAAGTATGAAGTAGCTTCTGCCGCATCCACTGGTCTTTCTAGCATCTGCCCCCTGAAATGTAGACTGCGCCGCTGAGCCCTGATTTTGCGCAGTTGAGAACTTTTCCACGGCCAGACTGGAAGCATTGGCTATGACCCATCCCTGGTTGGCAATGCCACCGGTCGCCGTATGTCGCAGTTGTTTGACCCACGGCTGGGTCCGGCCGGTCTGACCCCGCCTGTCTGGCCGCCAGTCCTGGCTGTCACGACCCGAATCCCGCGCTGGAATCACCAACGAAATCTGGGTATATTGTTCTCGACATGCTGATCACACGCAAACCACTTGCAATCGCTTTGCGAGATGTCTCCATTCCATCATATTAAATATGTGTAGTGGGCGAGAAAAAAATGCTGAGAGACCGTGTGCAGTGCAGTGGTAACCAGACTGCTCTGAATCCTCTCCGGAGATAGGTGCCGCTCCCTTCAGACGCACGCAAACTTGCAGCAGCAGCGGCAGCAGTGGCATCTGTCGCAAACAAACGAAACATGTGTCAGCTTTACCAGCATGCGTGTATGAATGCCGATCTTCACCGGATCATGCCGTATTGCGTTTGGCCCGACTTGGCACAAGCTGTGGGAATGTTCCGAGCTTGTGGTGGTATGCGCTAGCAGTGCCCTGTTGCTGCGATCGAAGCGGAGAGCTGGTCTTATTGGAAAAGTGTCGAGTTCAGGAATTCCAGCGGACGGGGGCGCCATCGATGTGCATTGTTTATCAGCATGGAGAGATGACGCAGCGAATGGCTTGGAGGCTCATTGCCCTCCCTTGCTAGGGCGCGTGCCACGCGACGGCTATCATGATAAGAACGGCCAGCTTGCCATTCAGGCCAAGCCATGGTCTTCCCCGATATCATGCGCCTATCAGAATCGTGCTGGAACGCAATTCAGAAGTGCGAGAGAGGGCGGGGGCGGCGCCTCGACGCGGTGTGGGCGCACAGCAGATAAGGTGACAATCTTTACAGCATGTGCGGAGGCCTATACCAACAGAACCGCCCGCCATGGCAATGGTCTGAACCTCAGCACTGCTGCGCGACCCGAAAATAGCGAGTCCTCCGAGCTGTGTCCGACACATACCATTCGATACGGCGCTTTACTGCGCTGATGTCGCTGTCGGTCCGTTGGGACGTCTGCCTCTCGTGAGCCCGACCGAAGGGCGCGCCTCCGCGTCAGGATGTCTGGCATTGCGAGCCCGACCGAGGGGCGCACATCCGCGTCAGGACGTCTGCCTCTCGTGAGCCTGACCGAGGGGCGCACATCCGCGTCAGGACGTCTGGCTCTCGCATGCCCCACTCAGTGGTGCGCCTCCTCGTCAGAACGTCTGGCTCTCGCGAGCCCGACTGAGGGGCGCCCATCCGCGACTTACGAGGCAGAGCCCTCGGCACTCCGCAGCACACTCCTCACGCGCCGTGTGACCCGGTCGGGTCGGGTCGGACCCTGTTTGTCCTGTTGCACTCCGAGTTCCGGGGACGGTGTCTAGACGCGATCAAACACATGAAAGGCCTGATTGAATGGGCTGGATCGGTACAGCTTCCATGCGCTAGACGTTGCCGCTCTGGAAATCACGTCTGGCGGCGGCGATGCGAAACATCTTAGCCTCGGGATACTTCATGAAAGCTACTTGGCAGTCGCCAGCAAGCTACCATAGTAACCGCACCAAAAGCCAAACAATAGAACGAACGTAAGAAGCACTCATCCCCCGAACATTAATGGGCAACATATTGTTTCTGGGGCATCATCCGCGCGCCTGCCGTAAAGAAGAGGCCGGATATCACCACGGGAAACACGGAAGTGTCGAAACTGCGTCACCTCGTGAATGTAATGAATATTTGCTGACGTTCGCGTCCCCAATGATGTAAGGAATATCTGATGTAAGCACGTCAGCGGCCGCTTGATGACTGAATGGCTGTCCGGTGTAATTGCTTTAGCAGGGAAGAGCGGTCCTGATGAGCGTCGAGTGTTGGCTGCGGTGGCTGCTGCGGGGCGGGGTGACGACACTGCACCCGGAGGGGTGGCCCGGCCGTCGGGCTCTGGGGCGGCACTCTCGCGGCACCCGGGTGGCGGCGCTACACCCAGAGGGGCCGGGCGAGCTCGGGGGCGGCACTCCCGCGGGGCTTGGGTGACGGCACTACGCCCGGAGGGGCCGGCCGGGCCACCAGGGCGGCACTCCTGCGGGACCCGGGCGACGGCGCTGCACCCGGGGGGGCCGGCCAGGCTCTGGGGCGGCACTCCGTGGGACCCGGGCGACGGCGCTGCACCCGGAGGGGCCGGCCAGGCTCCGGGGCGGCACTCCGTGGGACCCGGGCGACGGCGCTGCACCCGGAGGGGCCGGCCAGGCTCCGGGGCGGCACTCCGCGGGACCCGGGCGACGGCGCTGCACCCGGGGGGGGGCCGGCCAGGCTCTGGGGCGGCACTCCGTGGGACCCGGGCGACGGCGCTGCACCCGGAGGGGCCGGCCAGGCTCCGGGGCGGCACTCCCTCCGCCAGCCGGCGGTCCGTTGTTTCCGATCTGGGAGGGCTCTGTGTCGGCCGCAGCCTCCGACTTCCGCCCTGACGCGGAGCCCTCTCAATATTGGTGACCATCCATCTGTGGGCACGTCCGATAGCGGATCCAGGGAGGCGAGGGGGAGGGGGACTGGTGGTCGTGGGGCCATGGGGCCACGGCCTCCCTCAAGATGGCCCAAGTCCTAAAAAAGACATATGTCCGGCGTTTGAAGTAGATCGAAGCAGCTGTTGCGAGAGGAAGTGAACACTTGTTGAGGTTAAAGGAGGCGAAATTCGATGAGCTTTTCAAAATCAGGACACCTTTCGGACTCTGGCCTCCCCAAGCCAGTCTCCGCGCACCCCCCCCCCCCCCCCCGCGCTCCCCCGAAAGCGGCGTTCTGAATCCGCCGTGAAGTACGTCATGAAGCAAACCGCCGCGTGGCCCTAATGTTTGGTATTCCGGTGTGATCGTTGTTTGGGACTGTTATGCTGTTGACCGACGCTGCCGTGGTGATACACGTCTGAACCTCTCACACCGGTCGGCCCAGTAGGCGCGGCGAAGAGCGCTGCTAGGCTACCGTTTTCACATGGTGGAAGAGATCCAGCGCCTGTCGCACGTGGTGCTTGACGTGCGTAAAAGGGGAACGTTTGGGGAACGTTTCAAGCATGGCGAGTGCGCTGGAAGTGGTTTGTCGCTGTACAAGGTGATTCGTCTCAAAACGGGATGGCGGTCAAATTGAAATCAGGCATGCCTTCTGCTTCTTACAGGCGCAGTGATGGAACTTTTTGACCGCACCTCGCATACAAAGAAGCTTCTTAAAACACAAAGACGATCCAGGCTGTTGTCCCGTGGCGGACCCGCTCATCATCAGCTGGCCTCATGCCACGCCAGACTCTATGTAGGGTGTAGTTCTGTTATGGTTAGTTATGAAGAAGCCTCCTGCAGCCGACTGTGGCGAGTATGAGGGACGGGAGCGACCATGGTATGGTCGCAGCCCCGACACTCGCGCGTGCTCAATGTACTGTGCGCGAGTGTGGTGTTATGTTGGAGCGCCGAGTTGCCATCGCGCTACATATCGGGTCGTTTGCGCTGAATGTGCGCCCTCATATGTATCAGAGTGATACAATGGAAGCCGGGATTGACAGCTCGAACTTGGGGAGCGGATTCGGAGTGCACAAACCCGCCAATATCGAAAAAGCAAGCATGCTGGTGTTTGTCGCGGCCCCGGCTTATCTGTCCCAGGAAGAACATCGGGTGCCAGCTGCTCCGGCGTGACAACGCACTCTCCCACGGTTTGTTGAAAACGCGCGAGTCGTAGGACCGCACCAACACCATCGCTTTTCTCTATCCGCTGTGCTGGTCGGTTTGGGCTCCTTGTGGCTTCTTTCTGTTGCCCCGGATAAAGTCCAGCGGCGGAGTCGACGTTCTGACGCGGCGGAGGAGGTCCAGCGCGAGTGGCAGGTGGAGCCTGACACATCCGATCGGACTTCTGACGCGGTGGAGGAGGTCCAGCGCGAGTGGCAGGTGGAGCCTGAAACGCCTGATCGGACTTCTGACGCGGTGGAGGAGGTCCAGCGCGAGTGGCAGGTGGAGCCTGACACGTCTGATCGGACTTCTGACGCGGTGGAGGAGGTCCAGCGCGAATGGCAGGTGGAGCCTGACACGTCTGATCGGACTCCCAGTGGGCATCCCAGCGTGGCGGGAGCGCTGGCAGCGATGCGTCGCTGCACAAGTGGATTTCCTTGAAGGGAGAGGTGTCCGAATGTAAATGGGGCGCGTGATTTGTTTTTGTTGGCGAAGTCTCGGAACTTTTTGATCGCACATCGTAAGACGCCGCAGGCGTTGTACGGTGTGTGCTCAAGCTGGGCAACAGCTGGCTGTGGTGTCCTGACTTTGGCAATGAACCCACGAAAGGCACATTTCTGCCTTGCTTTGTCCGGGTTAATTTGCATTCAGTTATGATTGCTATCTTAACTTGTCTGGGAGGGAGCTGGAACACAGCGACGCATGTTGACAAACTTGGACGCGAGGCTCAGCTTTTAATTCCAAGGTTACAGATACACACCCTCGCTCTGTCCGAGTCCCGCCAAGCGCGGCGTGTAACGCTGCCCGGCATTCGTCGCAGAACGTCCGCGGCCATAGCTGGCCGAGTGTCGCCGCCGCTCTGGCGCTGCCTCTCACGCCGTCGCTCCCCGGCCGCCCCTGACTCTGGCCTTCGCCTGCCAGGTGGACCTGCGACTGCTGGAGGCGCCGCCGTCGGCCGACCTGGTCGAGGTGTTCGGCGAGGTGCATGTGACCGACGGCCGGCCGTACGTGCTGGCCAAGGTGAGCGGTCGGGGCGGGCGCAACTGGTGCTGGCCGCCGGCTGCGGCGCCGCCGGCCAATTGCGCTAATGACCCGGCGGCGGCCGGCTAATCAGGCGCCGGCGGGCCGTGACGGTCCGCCGGGGCTAACCGCTGACCCGGCGGCGGTCAAGGTCGACTGTCCCCTTCGGTGACCGGGTCAAGTCACGGCCCACGCTCAGCTATCCTCAGAGGCGACATGTGGCGATGAATGCGCTGTTGAGGCTGCCGGCCGGCTGTCGGGCCGGTGCAGCGCCGCCGGCCCGGTGCCGCGGCGTCTCGACAGCGGCGGCGGGCGGCCGTGATGGAGCGGCCGGTCTCCGGCGTCGGCCGGCCGGCTCTGACTGGCGCCCGTCCGGCGCGCATCGCCGGACCGGCCCAGCCGGCCGCTGCCGGCAGGCGACCCGCTCCGACCCGGGCCCAGAGAGCGGCGGGTGTTTTGCGCCCGGCTTCGGATCGATGCGAGGCGCGCGGCTGGCGGCGCCGGCGTCTCCTGCTGCACACATCCTGTTGCGGTTGGCTGGACCACGTGCGCTCCCCGCCAGCGCGTCTCGGTGCGCCGCCGGCGCTCGCGCTGGGCGGCCGTCGGCACGACCGCGTTCCCGGCTGAAGTCGGGCGGGCCGGCCACTGCGCCGGGCCGTGCTCCCGCCGCGTCCTGCCACGCCACGGCGCGCCGCTCCGGTGTGAGTACGCGGCGGCCGGGCTGGCCCGTGTCGATCACCGGGCGTATCCGCCGGCCCCCGCCGTGGAGCGGCCGACATAAATCGAGCCGACGGGCGGCCGACGGAGCGCCGCTGACGAGTTCAACACCGCCCGCCGCGCCCGTGATAACGACCCGGCGGGGCGAGCCAGCGGCTGACGTTTGCCAGGCAGTCGGTGGAGCGCACCGTTTAATTTGTTCAATATGTCGCTCGCGCTTGGGAGCGGCGACCTATTGACTGGACGGTGGCAGTAGGTTTTGACCGAGAGGCGACAGCGTCGGAGATTGAAGTGAACCATTAGTTCGACGAGCTTGCGAGTGGTAGCAGGTTACTTCTGGGCGATTTTTCCTTCCCTCTTGCTTATGAACAGGTGGCCGGAAGTGCTCCCGCTTCGTCCTCCGCGACTTTGGGAGTCATGCGTTCATACGCATGTCAGAAAATGCCATTTACATCGCTGGGTGAACAGATGTGAAAGTGAAACGAACGGATGTGGCTGAAATTCCTTCGGCTATGAAATGTTGTTTATTTGATTCAGGTGCGCTGTCTTTGGCCTCGTCTTCTGGTGTTTCGCCGGTTTTTCCACCATTGACTGACGGTTGGCCGGCACATTTTGTGGCGTCTGGTACCATTCTGCTTGGGACGCTCGCGGCGTTAGCCGTGTTATTTCTCCGGTTTGCTGAGACATTGCTGTTTACCTCTTTTATATGCAGATTAAAAAATATCTCTCTTAAAGCGGGAGGTGAATGAGACCCAGGCGCTTTTGGAGCATTACATTTGCATGATAAATATGTTGCTCTGGTTGCATTACATCTACATTGCCCCATGTACATTTAAGGTCCCTAAATCCACAGTCTGTAAAGAAAAGCCTAGTGTTGTTTTCGTCTTCAAGCTTTTATGTGCTTTGTCAGCTTCCAAATTTAATCATGATGGGCTTACCCAGCTTGCCGGGATCTCCAGTCACTGTGTTGCTGGTCGTTTCCGCCGGCTGTGTTGTCCGCTGTCGTGGCTCTGTGGGCGGCGGGCGCCGCCGGCTGCCAACGCCGCCGATGGGTCGCCCGGCGACGCGTCAGAACTCCGCTTGGCGGGGGTGCACTGCCCGGCGGTCTGACCGTGACCTGTCACCGACCCCCCGGGGCTGGCTCGGATGGGCGGCGACACCACCCGGCGGTCCGACCGTGACCTGTCACCGACCCGCCGGGGCTGGCTCGGATGGGCGGCGACACCACCTGGCGGTCTGACCGTGACCTGTCACCGACCCGCCGGGGCTGGCTCGGATGGGCGGCGACACCACCCGGCGGTCCGACCGTGACCTGTCACCGACCCGCCGGGGCTGGCTCGGATGGGCGGCGACACCACCTGGCGGTCTGACCGTGACCTGTCACCGACCCGCCGGGGCTGGCTCGGATGGGCGGCGACACCACCCGGCGGTCCGACCGTGACCTGTCACCGACCCGCCGGGGCTGGCTCGGATGGGTGGTGACACCACCCGGCGGTCCGACCGTGACCTGTCACCGACCCGCCGGGGCTGGCTCGGATGGGCGGCGACACCACCTGGCGGTCTGACCGTGACCTGTCACCGACCCGCCGGGGCTGGCTCGGATGGGTGGTGACACCACCCGGCGGTCCGACCGTGACCTGTCACCGACCCGCCGGGGCTGGCTCGGATGGGTGGTGACACCACCCGGCGGTCCGACCGTGACCTGTCACCGACCCGCCGGGGCTGGCTCGGATGGGCGGCGACACCACCTGGCGGTCTGACCGTGACCTGTCACCGACCCGCCGGGGCTGGCTCGGATGGGCGGCGACACCACCTGGCGGTCTGACCGTGACCTGTCACCGACCCGCCGGGGCTGGCTCGGATGGGTGGTGACACCACCTGGCGGTCTGACCGTGACCTGTCACTGACCCGCCGGGGCTGGCTCGGATGGGTGGTGACACCACCCGGCGACACGTCAGAACTCCGCTTGGCGGGGGTGCACTGCCCGGCGGTCTGACCGTGACCTGTCACTGACCCGCCGGGGCTGGATCAGGTGGGTGGTGACACCACCTGGCGGTCTGACCGTGACCTGTCACTGACCCGCCGGGGCTGGATCAGGTGGGTGGTGACACCACCTGGCGGTCTGACCATGACCTGCCACCGACCCGCCGGGCTGGCGATCAGTGGGTGGTGACACCACCTGGCGGTCTGACCATGACCTGCCACCGACCCGCCGGGGCTGGATCAGGTGGGTGGTGACACCACCTGGCGGTCTGACCGTGACCTGTCACTGACCCGCCGGGGCTGGATCAGGTGGGTGGTGACACCACCCGGCGGTCTGACCGTGACCTGTCACCGACCCGCCGGGGCTGGCTCAGATGGGTGGTGACACCACCTGGCGGTCTGACTGTGACCTGTCACTGACCCGCCGGGGCTGGATCAGATGGGTGGTGACACCACCTGGCGGTCTGACCGTGACCTGCCACCGACCCGCCGGGGCTGGATCAGATGGGTGGTGACACCACCTGGCGGTCTGACCGTGACCTGTCACTAACCCGTGGGCCAGCGACAGGTCACGTGATGGCACAAGCCGCTGGGTTCGTGTCATCACGTGGTGAGGAGGTGATTTGTCGTGAACCGGCTCGGATCCGCCCACAGCCTGACGATCGGTCACCGCCGTGTTTTGTTTCTTTTGTCGTGTATTTTTGACCTTTCACATATTTTAGCTGAACGTGCCGCCACCTATACTTAGATTTATTACACTCTTTCAGCGCACGATATTCAGGATTGTGGTAGGTAGGGCGGGGAGCACCTGTTGCCATTTGTCATGGATGTCGGACAGGTGTGAAAGGTTAGCTTTTCTATCCCGCCAAAAGAATCTAAGACGCTCTGATCTCCTGGTCTCCTCAGGTTCTGTAAATGTCTCCGTCTTGGAGAAGACGTGCGATGGTGCAAGGAAGCCGTGGAATTGCGTGTGATCCGACGGCTGCTATGCAGTCGACGCCTGGCAGCTCTAGTCGTGCTGATGCTCTCGTCTATACTCATCGTCTTCTGCGCCGCCTTGTGCATGCCGCTTCGGTCAAAGGTCTCCTCTGATTCACCGGATTCCCCCTTCTTTGATTGATGCCAGTGTTTCTCTCCGTGCTCGGTAGAAGAATTTCGTTGAATCAACCTTGTGACATGCTATATCGCGCCTTTTGCTTTTGTTCCCCACGAGTCCAGCGCCGAATTATCACGGAAGCCGCTCATCTCATTTTATTGGGTCGCCCGTCAGGGTTACAGTGCTAGCGGAGAGCGCGCCTTTACGGGCCGCTCTTGACCACTAGCCACGGGCGGCTGATCCCTACTATTGTTGTGTATGATTGGTCGCCGAGTCCAATTAGTTGTGTGGTCTCAGCTGGGGGGGGGGGGGGGGGGCGAGTTGTCCGTGGTCTGGCCGGTGCTGACAGCGGCAGCCGCCCGCCGCGGGGCGACTCGCCAGCAGCACGCCTCACTGAGCGGGCCGTCAGCCGGCCAAGTGCAGTCCATCCGTCCGTCCACTGAGCGACCGGTCCGGGCCCCGGCGCGCGGGCGGATGCCGCGGGGCGACTCGCCAGCAGCACGCCTCGCTGAGCGGGACGCGACCCAACCAAGTACAGTCCATCCGTCCGTCCACTGATCGGTGGGTCCGGGCCCCGGCGCGCGGGCGGATGGCGCGTGGGGTGTCGAGCCGTCGGGCCGTCGCTCCGTCGAGCGCCGCCCGGCCCCGAGTCCCGATCGACCGTCGCCGCCGTTGAAGTGGCCGCTGCCGCTCGCGCCCCACTCCCCCGGGAAGCCGCGCGCCGCCGGCCTGCCCGGCTAATGGGGGCCAGGTGTGCGCCACGGCCGGCGCAGTTTTTGCGGCGGCCGCGGCGCGCGGGGCTATTCTCGGCGCGGCGATGACGCGGCTCGACCAGCTGGTCGGTCGCCGAGCCAGCTGGGCCGGCGCGCCCGGTCGCCGGCCGGCCCTGGAGCGTCGGCCGGTGCACAGGTGGTTCCGTGCCCGCCGCGCTGTTCGTTTCCGCCGGTGGCGGCGGTTTTGTCCTGTTAGGAGTGGCCGCACTCACGATCGATGGCCGGCCCGTGCCACCGCACTTGGCCGCTTAATTGATGGTCTCGGGCGGGCCGCTGCCGTCTGCACGTGGGGTGTGAGGGGCCATTGGTACGCTGACCTTGAGTCAGCTCATCAGGAGGCGGGTCAGGCCAGGTCACGAACTTTGAACAGCTGAAGTGAGCGGGACTCTAATCGTGGAGCCGATCGAGGCGCGAGGGTGTATGTGTGTCATTAGGCCATTACGATGTACTCCGGTGCTGAGGCTATGTGGCGTCGCCTGCCTCTCACCCTGGCAGGAAGAGGGAATCGGGCCCGTGCGTCGGGTTCCCCAAACGTGCAGCTTGACCATGACACTAGCGGTACCAGATCGAGGCGAGAGTAGTGAGGTTGCGGCTCAAATGTGCTCATGACAGTGCGGGTCACATATGGACTTGGTCGCCTTGGTTCGAGACTTCTAGGTATATTGTCATCGTTGCATCCGTTGTTGCATCCGTTGTATCGAGTGGGTAGTGGCGCTGTTTTCATCTCAGGCGTCTTAAATTGTGTCTTTATCTGCCCTAATGGCCCGTTGTTTACACTGGATGTTTGCGCTTTTATTTTCTGCGAGAGGCTGAGAGCCGGCCCTGTTTGCGTCCGATGGTACGATTCAGTGGCAAATCGTTGATCACTGCCTTCCCACGTTCGCGAGACGTCTAGGAAGCCAGCGTGCCAAACCGGCTGCGTTAAACGGGGCTGCTGTCGCGCCCGCGCCAGATGACCCGATTTATGACGCTCTCGTCCCCTCCCGCGCCACTGCTCCGGGATGCCTGGGCCGCTGTGTGTCACGCGTGCCGGCTCGTCTGCTTTGCATGCGACACCGGCGCCTCGGCTGCGACGCCCCCTGATGGCCCGCGGGCCGCTGTCTCATCTGCCTCGCATGGCCGGACATATGTGCCGTCCGTCCGCCCAACTCCGTGCTCGGGCGCGGCTTGCGGCCGCCGCTGATGGCCGAGTCGTGCTCCGGCGGCCGACATCAATCAGTGCCGCCCGCGTCCCGATATGACACGGACAGCGCGGCTGCGACGGATGGCCGGCGCCGACACCGCGCGCCGCATCGATCCCGCCCGGCGAACGGACGCGGCGTCCGGCGGTTGCGGCAGGTGGCGCTGCCCGCCCCCGCCGCCGGACGCCGCGGCGCGGCCGGTGCGCGGCGCGCCACGTCGGGCCGATCGCCGGCGGCGGTGGCGCGAGTGGGCCCCGGACGCGACTGTGCCGCCGAGCTCAGCGGCGGCTGGCAGCGCCGCTGAGCGGGCCCGGCGCGGCCGCTCGGCCAGCGCCGAGCCAGCCGGTTCTCGGCGGATTTCCCACCAATGTGTCATGTGTGTGTTTCGTGTGTCAATTTCGCGAATGATCCTGGACGCGTCTGTTCTTGGCGGGAATGAGCCGTGAAAGCTCAGAACGGTCTGTGGTTGGATCAGGGCCTATGTCAAGAATCTTCAGATCATGCAGATCCAGCCATTCTGCCCAACTGTTCTCGAAGCGTATTTCTGCCCAGACGCGGAGACGAGAGTAGATATGCAGTCACGGGGTGCTGTTTCCGTTGGCACGATCAGCCACGCCCTTCCAGCGTGGTGTGTTTTTGCCTCGCGAAATCCTCTGCCAGAGCATATGTGAATAGCAGATTGGATGCGTTAGGCTCGGTTCCTTGTTGGCCCATTTCCTGCGGCAAATAACGACCACTGGCTATCCTGGTTTTGTGGACGTGCTGCCTTTTGCCCGAGTACGTCGAAAATCAAAGAACAATTGGCGCCAGGTGGCCCAGTCGTTGCAACACCCTGAAATATAAGTTGTGATACTTGTAAATGTGTTGTTTGCGATGATACCATTTGCGTGAAACTCCTTGCTTTTAAGAGCGCATGCCTTTGGGCCTTTTTTTGTTTTACTGGTTTGACGAATTTAGCCAGCCAAATGTTCTGCAGTGTTCGCTTCACCGTGGTTTGATAATCTTCAGAATGTCACATGAGACTGGCCGTCCTTCGCAGCACTAATCGTTGTTGACCGAATCGCTAATCTATCGTGATTCCAAGGAATCATCGCTTCTTGGTCTGCCCCGCTCAGTGCCGTCCGCATGACTCCGGTTTGAATGCGCCCGTTTGCCGCTCGGCAGCACCGACCGCCGAACGCTGCCATTGTCCGGACGCGGCTGGAGACGTGCTGCAGGTATTGAGAGGGCGATGAACCCTGCCTCCGTGCCGCGATATTCGCCTGGCTTTTTGCCGGCTCCGTGTCTGACGTGGGCGGTGCGTCAGTTTTTCAGTGACGCGAGCGGCGTGGACCCGGCGCTGTACCAGCGAGCCTCGGAGCAGCTGGGCCGGCTGTTCCCGCGCCTGCAGCGCTGAGCGTCGCCGGCCGCGCCATGGAGTGCCACGCCGAGACTACCGAGCCGGCGTTCCAGCCGGCGACGGCCGCCGCCGCCGGCCAGGCCGAGGCGCCCGTAGTCGAGCCTGATTTTGGGCCCGAGCACGGTGACGCCCAGTTGGCCGTGCGGTGCGCCGCCGAGCCGCGCGAGCTCGCCGCCGTGCGCGAGGAGTGTGCCGACGGCGTCCGGCTGGAGAAGAGTGCGGAGGGGGCCGAGGTGGAGCAGAGCGCGCCGGGCGCCGCACTGACGGAGAGTCCCGAAAGCATCGAACTGGAAGAGAGTGTGGAGGGTGCCGAAGTGGAAGAGAGTGCCGAGAGCTTCGAAAGTGGGGTGGAAGAAGGTGCACGGGGCGCCGAACGGGGGGAGAGTGCACCGGGCGCTGCTATGGTGGAGAGTCCTGAGAGCATCGAACTGGACAGTGCAGAAAGTGCCGAACTGGTGGAGAGTGCAGAGGGTACCGTACTAGTGGAGAGCGCAGAGGGCGACGAAGTGGCAGAGAGTTCCGGGAGCACCGAACTGGATGAGAGTGCAGAGGGTGTCGAGTTGGCGTCGGTGCGGGAGGACAGTGCAGGCGACACGGGCGAGTGTGAGACCGGTGCGGCGGACGGGTCACCGGACAGTAGGGAGGCGGCAGGTGCCGTGGACGGGGCGCAGTGCGCCGCGGCTGGTTGGTGCGCGCCAGTGGTCGAGGACGACGGCGGTCCGCCGGAGGTCTCCGTCGGTGGCGGAGCGGACGCTTTGGCGGAGCTGGGTCCGAGCGAGACACCGTGCTCTGACTCCACCGAGCCGGCGGCCGCCCTGAAGGACGTGCTGGCGGACGCGCGCGAGAACTGCGCGGTCACCGCCGCCGCGGACGCCCTGGCCGACCTCGCGCTCCGCCCGGGGATGAACTGTGTGGTGGAGCTGCCAGGGGGCGTCTCGGCAGCCCCCGCGTCTCCTGTCACACCCAGCGACCTGGAAGACATCTCTGACTGGTTGCGGGACGAGTCGGCCGCCGCGGACCACGCGGACGACTCAACACGCGCCGCGGCACGCCTGGCGCTGGACTGCCGCGCGGCCTGCCGCGGCCGCCGCGGCCGGTGTCCTGGCCGGCGGGGCGGCGGACTGCCGGCCGGAGGAGTCGCCGGCGCCGGCGGAAGGCGCCCTGTGCTCGCCGCTGGAGAAGTCGTCCTCGCTGCCGCTGATCGACGGTCCGCCAGAGCCGGAGATCGTGCGGCGCCGGCGCGTCTCGTTCCCGGAGAGCGACGTCTCGCTGGTCACGGGCTACATCGAGCCTCGCAACCCGCTCGGCGCCATGTACAACGCCAGCCCGGAGGTGATCTCGGCGGCGTACCGGCAGTCGTGCCACAAACACGGCTCGCAGCCGCTGCCGGCCGTGCTGCGTCAGATCGCCGCGCTGCCTGTCATCGGAGACCGGGTCGAAAGCTTCTCGCTGCGCGGCCTGCGCCTGGAGCGTGCGCAGTGCGAGAGCCTCGAGGAGGTGCTCAAGAAGGTGCAGTTCAACCTAGTGGACGTCAGCGGCTGCGGCCTGGACGACGACTCGGCCGCCGCCATATTCGAGATGGTCGAGTTCTACGACTCGGCGCTGGCTGTCAGCTTCGGCGGCAACCGACTGGGCGTGCGCGGCTGGCAGGCGTGCTGTCGCATGATCAAGGCGAGCGCCTCGCTGGAGCGCCTGTCGGCCGAGGGCGTCGAGCTGTACGACCAGTCGGCGGCGGCGCTCGGCCGCAGTCTTCGGCTGTCGCCCAGCTTGCGCGTGCTGCACCTGGAGGGCTGCCGGCTGCACGGCCGGCCCATGGCGCTGCTCATCGCCGGCCTCAAGCAGAGCCCGGCGCTCAAGGAGCTGTACCTGGGCGAGAACGAGCTGGGCACCGGCGATGGCTCCATGCTGGGCAACATGCTCAAACTCAACTTGCGCCTGGACCTGGTCGACCTGCGCATCAACCACTTTGACAACGACAGCGTCAGCTTCCTGCTGGAGGCGCTGGCGCAGCAGCCGGCGTCGGCCAAGGGTGAGGGCCTGGCCTCGTTGAACCTCTGGTGCAACCGGTTCACGGTCAAGTCTGCCGGCTGCCTGGCGGCGCTGCTCGGACGCCACACAGCGCTGGAGACGCTCAACCTGGGCCGCAACGTGCTCGGCGACGAGACGCTGCGCGTGGTGAAGGAGGCGCTCATGGGTAACGCCAGCCTGCGGCGCCTCGGCCTGCAGGAGTGCCGGCTGGGCTGCGAGGGCGCCGTGGCGCTGGCCGAGATCCTGGCCGGCAACGCAGCGCTGCAGCGCGTCGACCTGCGCGGAAACGGCGTGCGCGTCGGCGGCCTGCTGGCGCTGACGCGCGCGCTCGAGCACAACACGCGCCTGCTGCAGCTCGACCTGGACCCGGCCGGCGACGAGCCTGAGCGGCTCATGCTGCACGCGCGCATCCGCGACTTGTGCGAGGCTAATCGACAGCGCAGCCAGCCGGAGGAGGAGGCGCCGCGCAGCGACACCATCCTGCGCCGACTGTCGGCCGCCTTCCGACGCGTCTCGCTCACCTGCGACGCTCCAGCGGCGGCGGCGGCGGCGGCAGCTGCCGCGGCGGCGTCGACGCCGGCGCCGGCGCCGCCGCCGGCCGAACCGGAAGCGACCGAGGAGCGGCGCCGACTGGTCAGTCCGAGTCCGTCGCCTACCTCCAGCCCGCTGCCCAGCCCATGCCGCAGCCGGTTCCGCGTGTTCAAGGTGGCGCCGCCGGCGGCCGGCTCGCCGCCGGTGTCGCCGGGGCTGCTGCAGCGGCCGGGCCGCTCCAGCTCCGACAGCGACGCTAGCAGCAGCCCCAGTCCCAGCCCGGTGCGCGTGGCCGCGCGCGGCTTCCGCGTCACGCCCGTCTCGGAGCCGGCGCGGCCCAGGTCGACGCAGTGAGCGGCACCCCAGCGCGGGCCGGCCGCGCCGACGGGTAGCCGCCACGCCCCCCTCACGGTCGGCAGCATAATATGGAGCGGTCGGCGCGACTGGTCTTCATGGAGACGGGCTGGGCGCCCGGCCTGCTGCCGCGGGAGTGTTGCCGACAACCCGCGCCGCAGCAACCGGACGGGACGCCGTGTGTTTTGAGCCTGAGCTGCGCGCGCTTGCCGGGCCGGCCGGAGCGCGTCGTGCCGCCTGAGTCGCTGATGTTGTGTGAGGCGCCTCGCCCTCTGCTACCTGGACACCTAGTACTGGCCAAAGAGTGGGCTGTTCTCCGCCGGGGGGCGGCGGCCGCCCTTTGTTAGAGTATGAGCTCCGTGTACCTGCCGTAGTGGCGCCCCGCGGCCGCCGCCGGGCTGCCCACATAGCCAAATCGTGGGATTACTTAACGGAGGATCGTCCCTGTACAAATCACAAAGGCGTGCGGTGGAGCGGCGCGATGTCTGTGATGATTTTATCGGCCCGTCGGTGAGTGTGCGATGCGCGCTGGGACGCGCCGTGGCGACGTCCCTGTTGTGTGACCTGAGTGTTGAGTTGTTTTAGTCAGCCGCCACGTGTACTGATATTTGACAGTACAAACAACGTAGATGAAATCGTAATATAATAAAGATCTCTCGTAATGAAGCAGTGGTCTGGCGTGGGAGGCCTCGCAAGGAGCAGCGATGACTGGTACTAGACGCCACTCGACCCGAACTGTACCACGTAGCCTCGGGCGGGTCAATCATCTGCGAAGGACGCTCCGAACTGAAGGTCTGTGACACTTAACGTGGACTGATGTTGATAATTCAGAATTTGAACCGCGCTTCGGCTGCTGTGGCCACTTCGCTCTGCGTTGATATGTCAACAAATAAGTGTCGTTATAAACTGACAGACTATGAGAGCGAAAGGAGCTAGGCAGCAGCGGCTGGCCTGTTCGGCCGACAGATGGCAGCCGTGCCGGCGGACGTCCGATCGCTACACCAAAGCTGACGTCAGCACATCCGCCGCGGGAGATCAGGCCGGTAATCTCATTGGCGCGCGTCAGCCGACAACTGCACATTAGCGTTGACGATTGGAATGCCCTGGGCACAAATTGTTTGCCGATCTTGTGACAGGCGCCGGATGCGGGTGATCAGTGTGCACCGCGCTCCCGACTCCGCTGAGCAGCGGTGTGTAGCGCTCAGATACAGGGATCCTCGCTGCGATGCAGGGATCCTTGCCGTGATACAGGGATCCTCGCTGCTACGCTCCAGGGATCCTCGCTGCTACGATACATGGATCCTCGCTGCTACGATACAGGGATCCTCGCTGCTACGATACAGGGATCCTCGCTGCTACGATATAGGGATACTCGCCACGGTACAGGGCTCCTCGCTGCTATGCAGGGATCCTCGCTGCGATGCATGGATCCTCGCTGCTACGATACAGTGATCCTCGCTGCGATATAGGGATCCTCGCCACGGTACAGGGATCCTTGCTGCGATACATGGATCCTCGCTGCTACGCTCCAGGGATCTTCGCTGCTACGATACAGGGATCCTCGCTGCTACGATATAGGGATCCTCGCCACGGTACAGGGGTCCTCGCTGCGATGTAGGGATCCTTGCTGCGATACATGTATCCTCGCTGCTACGCTCCAGGGATCCTCGCTGCTACGATACAGGAATCCTCGCTGCTACGATATAGGGATCCTCGCCACGGTACAGGGATCCTCGCCGCGATGTAGGAATCCTTGCTGCGATACATGTATCCTCGCTGCTACGCTCCAGGGATCCTCGCTGCTACGGTACAGGGATCTTCACTGCTACGATATAGGGATCCTCGCCACGGTACAGGGATCCTTGCTGTGATACAGGGATCCTCGCTGCTACGATACAGGGATCCTCGCTGCGCTATAGGGATCCTCGCTTCGGTTCAGGGGTCCTTGCTATGATGCATGGATCCTTATCATACGGGGATCCCCACAACGACACAGGGATGGAATTAGGGACTCAAACGGAGGGGCGGCGAGCCCAGTCCTCAAAATTAAATAAATTGTTCAGTGCATTTGCGAGGATTATTACGCACATAGATAAGGCAAGTAGTAATACCCTTGTTCCTCGTGGGAAAAAAAACAGGAGAGTGGAGACGTAGATGCGTTAATATTTCGGCAACATGCCTGTATCGAAACGAATAGCAAAAGTAAATGTAATATAGCAATGTGTATAACAATAGTAAAATTTACTTCTGCTATTCGCTTCAATAAAGGCATATTGCTGAAATATCGACACATCTTCATCTCCATCCTCACGATTTTTCTACGAGGAATAAGGCTATGGCTACTGTCATATATAAACCCAACTTTCACCTCATAGTCACGCTTGTGACCCATAGTTGCATTTAAGATAGCAAAAGAAATAAAAGCAGCAACAAGCGAGTCACTAAATTACTAATTAATGCTCGGTGCGCCCTCGTCCCAATTCCCCGCGACCCTAGCACTCAGCCCACCCCAGCCATCAGAGTGGGCAGCTCAGTACCCGCCAAGGCGCGAGCTGCCCTGCCGTGCGGCTCATTCCCCCCCCCCCCCCCTCTGGCGTGCTGTACCCGGCCGTGCGACTCTCCCCCCCCCCCCTACTAGCGAACTCTGCCAAGCGTGACTCAAACTGCAGTCAACTCGGGCCGCGCGGAGACAGTGGGCCGCTCAGTCAGACGCGGGCGTCACGCCGCAGCTGCTGAGCGACAACAGCCAGGCGGCGCTGACGGCGCGGCGCCCGGCTTAGCCAGGTCGCTGACGGCGCGGCTCCCGGCTCAGACAGGGTGTGGCGGCAGGCTGGCCAAGCGTTCAGTCATGACCTGTGCCCAGCGGTGACCTTGACCCTGGCTCATGGGACTTGGCTCAGTCCTTCATTGGCGGAGCGCTCATCAGAAGCCGTCACTCATGACGTATGTAGCACGTCACACGCGAGCGGCTGTGTTCCAAAGCGTGTGCACTATCGCGGCGAAGCTACCTGTGGCGCCACGTAAACAGGAATGTGGAGACATTTAGCAATGAGGAACAGGCCTTAGAGCCCCGTTCTTCATAAGCCAATGGAACCCCATTCCTCACCTCAGGGTAAGCCCATTCCCCACGTTTCACGTGACGATCGGAAGCCCATTCCTTACTTGGCCTAAAGGCGAAGTAAGTGTGTTTGTTTGCAAGGTCGTCTGCGCTGACATAGCAAAGCTTTGAAACGGTCGATGAGTTGTTGGCCGTCTGGTATATCCGGCAAACAGGCAGTTCTCGATCCCATTTGGAGAGTGTGATCGATAGTGATGCATTTCGTTACATAAAGTCTGTCAGTAGCTGTCATTCGAACACGATTCAAGCGCGCCATTTGTGTGCGCTATGCGACTTCAAGGGGTTCGATCAGCTGACTCTGCTTGTGCCCATATTCAGAACGACAGGAATTTCTCTTCGGCGTGTTCTACGACACCACCTCGGTGGGCGGACCTCGAGCCACAAGCCAATAAGGAGCAGGCCTATGATGTTTTGCCGTCCTCCCAGCGCCGGACATCATCGCTGTGTGACTGATTGGACGCAAATGACTACAGCGACCGCGCGCCCAATTTAGCACGAGCAGCGCCTCGCCCAGCCTGCCTCGGAGCGCAGCCCAGCAAAGGAAAGCGGCGGCGCCTGGACAACAGAGAGCAAAATCTGTATTTACAAAAGTCGCCTCCAAAGATGCGCCCTTCTCCCGACGTCAGCGCGCGCCCTACACGGCCGTCAAGATCTACAAGCCCTGCGCGAGCGGACCGGCGGCGGCGGGACAGCACACGGGACTATCACAAAACAGCCACGCTCAGAGCCCAGCGCCGCGGGGGCGGATAGCCTGGCGCCGACCTCCGCGCGCCAGGCCCGGCGGGGCGGACGGCCGCTGATCCCAGTCCAGGCCGCCCGAGTCGGCGCAGGGCCGCCGGCGGCCGCAGCCAGCACTCTGTCCGCCGGACGCGCGCTCACGCACACGATGAGACCACATGATTCACTGATGACTTCGATGAGTGTCCACTACTGGGAGACGCAGCTTCCGCGACACGACGTCGGCCCTCCGCCCACCGGCGGGTGCAGCCGCACCATATGTACACGATACAGACGTACAGTATGGCATAGTAGACGTGGTACCGGCCGGCGGGAGCGCTCGCTCCCGGTCCCAGCTAAGACGCACCCAGCAGCCTGTTCTCCGCCCATCAAGTGTATCCACCGCGATAAAATGCTGAAAATAAATCACAACGCATTCCTAAAGTTTATAACGAACCGATGTCTAGGATGGCGGTGCTGGTGCATAGAAAACCGGTACACTTTCTCGACCGCGAGTCACGTTCACCAATGCGCCAGCCACGGCACTGCACACCAACGGGCGCACACATTCATATAAAACTATGATTCCCCGCGCGCAGAACGGTCGCCACGCGCCCCACGCTTAAAACCGCCGCGTCGGCCGGCACGCCTCGGGCGCCGTACCACGCCGTCGTGACCGCGGTCGGCGCCGCTCTAGGCGTCCATCCTGGCCAGCGCGGCCTCGGCGGTCTCAGCGGCGTCGGCCGGCGCGCCGGGCCGCGGCGCCGGCGGCATCGCCTCGTCCCAGGCGTCGGCCGGGTCGGGCGCCGTCCGGCCGGCCGGCGGCGCGTCCGGGCTGGCCGGGCTTTCCGATACCGGCGGCGGCGGCGGCAGCTCGGAGTCCGACTCCTCCAACGTCAGCACCAGCTCGCCCTGCTCCGCGGCCTCAGCCGGCGGCGGGCAGGGCGTGCCGTCCTCCGGGGCGGGCGGCGACGCCGGCCGGCCGGCCTGCTCCGCGGCGCCGTCGTTCCGCTCCGCCCCGGCACCGCACGCCTCCGCGTCGCCAGGCGCGTCCGGAGCGCCGGCCTGCGGCTCGGACCGCGCGGCAGACGCGGCAGACGCGTCTGCGTCCAGCTCCACTCCGGACGAGGCCGCCTCGTGCGTCGCCACGCTCACCTCTTGGCCGTAGTGCGCCGACGACGAGCCGACCTCCTGGTCGTGCTGCATGTCCGCCTCGCTGGCCTGCTGCAGGTCGGACGTGATCACCTCCTCGCTGTGCTGCATCTCAGGCGCATCGACCTCCTGACACTGCTGCATGCCGTGCTCGCTGACGTCTTGGCGCAGGTCGGACTCGATGAGAACACGGTGCATGTCGGATTCACGAACAACGTGATGCATGTGAGACTCCATGACGTGGTGCATGTCGGACTCACTGACATCGTGGGCCATGTCTGATTCACTGACATCATGACGCATGCCGGGTCCACTGACGTCTTGACCCTGCTGCATGTCAGGCACGCTGACGTCCTGACCATGCTGCATATCAGAAACACTGACATCCTGACCTTGTTGCAGGTCCGCTGCACTGACATCCTGGTCCTGTTGCATGCCCGCTGCACTCATATCCTGGTCCTGCTGCAGGTCGGATACACTGACATCCTGGCTCTGTTGTATGCCAGATACACCGATATCCTGGCCATGCTGCACGTCGGTCATACTAACATCCTGGCCCTGTTGCGTGTCGGACACAATCATTTCCTGGCCCTGTTGCGTGTCAGACACAATCATTTCCTGGCCCTGGTGCGTTTCAGACACAATCATTTCCTGGCTCTGGTGCGTATCAGACACAATCATATCCTGGCCCTGATGCGTATCAGTCACAATCATTTCCTGACCATGGGGCATACCAGATCCACTGCCTTCGTGGCGATGCTGCATTTCTGATACGTCCACTCCCTGCCCATGATGTAAGTCCGAGACAATGACGTTCTGAGCGTGTTGCATGTCAGACATGTTCTGCTCATGTTGCATCTCTGACGCACTCGCTTCCTGACGCTGACCCACGCCCGCCAGCCGCACTTCCTGGCCATGCGGCATGTCCGACACGATGACCTCCTGGCCTTGGTGCACCTCGTACATGGTGACCTGGTCCTGCGGCATCTCGGTGACGATCACCTCCTGGCCGGGCTGCAGGCCCGCCATGCTCACCTGGCGGCCGTCGTGCATGCCCGACACGATCACGTGACCGTGCGCCATGTCCGATATGGTGATCTGGCCGTGCTGCAGGTCGGCCACGCTCACCCGCTGGCCGTACTGTAGGCCGGCGGCGGCCATGCCGTGGCCGGGCGACGGCGCGGCGCACATGCCGGGCACCACCGTCTGGCCGTGGCCGGGCTGGTGCGGCAGGTCGGGCAGGATGGCGGCCGGCTCGTGCGGCGCCGCCTCCAGGTCGGACACGGTGATCTGGGAGCTGGACACGCTCATCTGCGCCGACGAGACGAGCCCGGACGCCGCCCGGCGGCCGCGCGCCTCCGGCCAGAGGCGCGGCCCGCGCGCCACCACCGCCGGCGCCGGCGCCGCCGGCGGCGTCTGCAGCTGCGGCACCGACACCAAGTTGAGCGCGATCTGCGGCGCGGTGGTGCGCGGCAAGTCGATGCTCTCAGTGGAGCGCAGCGCCAGCGCCGGCGGCCGCGGCGCCAGCGCCGCCGCCGGCGCCTGCACATCGGGCAGCACCGACTCGCCGTCGGAGGCGCCCGGGCCGCCCGGCTCGCCGGCGGCCGGCCGCGGCTGCTCCACCTGGATGGTGACCGTGTCCTGGCCGTGCGGCCCGCCGCCGCTGCTCACCACCACCGGCACCGTGTACTGCGTCACCTCCACCACGGCGCCGCCGGAGACGGCCGGGCCGCCGTCGGCCGCCGGCCGCAGCGCGATGTACGAGATCATGCCGTTCTCGTCCTCGACGGGCACAATGCCGTCCGGCAGCTGCATGTACTCGCCGTCCACCGTCAGGCTGAGCGAGGCGGCTACGCTGTTGGCCACGGCCGACATGGACTCGGCTTCGGAGCTGGGGTCGAGCGGCGCGGCGGCGCCCGGCGGCGGGTCGCTGGCGGCCGCCGCCTCCTGCTTCACGGACGCCGGCGACGGCGGCGGCGGCGGCGCCGGTGTGGCGCGCCGCAACTCCGACGACAGCTTGTGGACGGAGCGCATGTGGCCCTTGAGGTTATAGCTGCGCGAGAACGACATGCCGCAGAACTCGCACTTCCACTCGAGCTTGCGCTTGGGGTCGGGCGCTTGACGGCACGCATTGCCGCGCATGTGGCCCTCCAGCAGGCTGAGGTTGTTGAAGAGCACACCGCAGTCCTTGCACTTGTACTCCTTGGTGACCTTGTGACGCCGCTGCCGGTGCTGCGCCAGCTCCGAGTCGCTGATGGCCTCGAAGTCGCACCGGTCGCACTTGGGGAAGGTGATGAAGCGCGGCGGCTGAATGCCGTGCTTGATGTACTGGTGGTACATCAGCTGCAGCTTCTTGGGCGCCGAGAAGCCGCACAGCTGGCACGCGCCGAGCCCGCTCACGCCGCGCGTGTCGTGCACGTCGCGCAGGTGCGTGAAGTAGTCGTCGACGGCGGCGAACTCGATCGGGTCGCCAGCCTGCACGCACGCCGTGCACGACAGCGTGTTGAGGTCGATGGCGGCCGCGTCTCTGTGCTCGTCCTGGAAGTGCTTGGCCATCTGGTCCGCCCACCAGAAGTCCACCTGCTTGCCGGCGCGCGCGCAGAGCGAGCAGGTGAGCGGCGACTCCAGCGTGTCGGCCGGCGACGGCTGCTGCTTCACCATCACGTACTCGCTGCGGCCGGGCGAGCCCGAACCCACCTGGGTCACCAGACGCACCTGCCGGCCAGAGCAGAGGTCAAGTCTGGGGAGCGGCGTCCATCGCGGTACCGGTGATGGCCGCACGCGAGCCGCGACGGTTGTCTAATTCACGCTGATAAAGCATAGGATGTCGCATGCAGTGTACCGTCCTCGGACATGTAATCACATCACTTCCAAAATCAGCACCTCGCCGACTACATCTGGCTGGAAAAAACGTCAGCTCTAAATATTTTACAAACCCGCTGATGCAATCGTTGATCCAGAACAGCGCACGAGTAAGACAAACGCCAATACAGTAAAGTCAAGAACCGAAGGGCGAAATCTACACAGGCCCACCCTGCCCAGGTAGGGGAATGGAGCAGCAGAGAGAGGGGAAGGGAGGGGCGGTCGGGCGGGCGCCAGGCGGCGGACTGACCTTGATGTTCTGTCCGCCGCGCAGCACTTCTGGGTGCTGTTTCAGCAGCTGGCTGACCAGCTCGGACGTGTCGCCCATGTCCTGCACGGTCAGGGTCAGCTGCGGACTCTCGGAGAACTGCACCCGCTTCTTGGCGCTGGCGCCGCCGGCACCGCCCGGCGTCGGCTCCTGCTTTAGGAGCGGCCGCGGCGGGCGGGGCGTGCTCGGCGTGGCCAGCGCGGCCGGCGCGGCCGGCGCGCTTGCCACAGCCGGCGGCACCTCCGGGTCGGGCGGGTCCTCCTCCGTGGCGGCGGCGGCCGAGGCGGGCGGCTCGGCTCCGGTCGTCACTGGCTCCGCATCCTCCTCGTGCCAGTCGGCCTCCATGACCGGGTCGTCGGCGTCCACGTCGCCGCCGCCGCCGCCGGCCTCTTCGTCGAGCAGCTGCGCGCGCCGCCGCTGCTCCTCGTAGTACTCGCGCAGCACATGCACGTCATGGCCGGCGTCGGCCGCCTCCAGCCGGGCGCGCTTCTCGCCGCCGTTCTCCTGTGGCGCGGCCCGCTTCACCGGCGTCTGCCGCAGCGTCTCGAACAGCGCTTCGCGGATCGGCCGGCCGGGGCGGCGGAGGCGGCGCGGCGGCGGGCGCGGCCGGGGCGGCGGTGGCACTCGCCGCCGCCGCCGCCGCCGCCGGCTGGTGGCTGCTCGAGTCGAGCACCGGTAGCCGCGAGTGCAGCTCCAGCTCGTCCGTGTCGGGGAACTCGAACCGCGACGGGCGCGCCTCCTCCGGCGGCTCGGCGGCGCGCACGATGCTGCGGGGCACGCGCGAGACGGGTCAGCGGCGGTCGGCATGGCTGTATCGCTGACGTCAGCACTGGTGATGACAAACTAGCCGCGTCGCGCGATGGATGAACTCTGGCGAACAGACAACGCGGCCCTCACCCGTACCAGTCCGCCAAGGGTTCTTGTTCTCAAACTACTTGTTCATATAGTACGTTGTGCATACGAAAACTCCCCATGAAGTAGTCATTTCAATCGTCTGAAGAGGAGAAGCATCTTACAGGGTGACATATTTCAACTATTAAACTTGAGTAGTCCAGTCTGACCTGTTGGTCAATCTGCGCAGCAACATTCACGGTAGGGATGGCAACAACATGTACGCTGCAAGTTTGTGCACTGGCTGCGAACACACATGGCTGTCATGCGTGATTAACACTCACCTGCGTTTGGCAGCCAGCTGCGAATTGGTGGGCTGATACACGGAGTTCCTCTGTTGCTGTGGCCTAAAGTGCACACGGACCCCGTTATTCAAGAGAACGCATATGTGAACATCGAGGAACGCGGCCGAGGCATGCGACAAGAGCGACTACCAACTCTGGCCTCGGTACGCATCTTGCTGTGTTCCTCCGCTACAGGGGTCAGGCCGAGACTTTCTAGTAGAAGCCGATTGAACGATACCGCCGGCGCCCTTCCGTCGCAGGTTGGGCAAAAGCTCGCGCTTAGAAAGTATAAGTGGACCAGCATCACGTCATCGGATTCGTCTTCAGCGGCCCCTCCCCTCCCACCACTGAGCACATTCCCACAGCAGCAGCTGTCTAACCGCCGGTACCCAGGGCCGGCGGTTAGGCAGCTGCTGCCGTCTAACCGACGGTTCTTCCCTGCCCTAGCGCGGCGCGCGCGCTCGCGATCAGCTGACCTGGCGGGGCGGCCGACGGCGGCGCGGCCAGGCGAGCCGACCTCGCGCGGGCGCGCCCAGTCGGCGCCGGCTGTCGCCTCGGCGCTGCTCATCTGCGCCTCCAGCAGGCGGATCAGGATCTGCAGCTTCAGCAGCTTGGCCGTGTTGTAAAGCATGTCGACGCTGAACGGCGCCTCCAGCCGGCCTGTGTACACAAACCTGGCCGAGAGAGGACGCAGCTGAGTTTTGGGGCCGCGGCACACTGGGACAGCTGGGTCACCGATGGTTTCTGTTCGGGTGGGAGCAGAATGGGCCAAACCCATCACCAAACCCAGCAACGTGCCTGTAAGGCCAAGGTCAACCCAAGCATTCAGCAAAACACAAGATCAAACACTGCCTGGAAGTGTACATCAGTTGTTATGACAGGACGAAAGACAACAGTACATGTATGCAACAGAAGATGTTCAAGCAAAGAGCCTGTCCTTCAATCGCTTGCTAACAACTGACATAAGAAAACTCACTAAATGATTTGATAGACATTTACAGCTGCCGAAAGCATCATCGAAAAATTCGTGGGTGAACGATTAGGATGGAAAACGCCTCCATCAAAATGTAGGGCTCCCGAGACAACTCCTATCTCACACCTGTCCTGGTCTTTCACAGGGTCTTTGGCTTAGTTTGTGTCTCTGATGTAAATCCTGATTAACCGCGACTAGACGCGCAGAAATGCGCACGCACACCTCTTAGCCACTGCGCAACTGGGGAACCAGAGTTATGGGGTTCGATTCTCCGCAGCGCCCGCCCTTCCTGCCGCAGTGAGAGGCAGGCAGCGCTATATAGCCTCAGCAGCTGGGTGCGTTGTAAGGCCTTAGTTAGCAAATGACACACTATGGCGGCAAGCAGTTCGACGACTGGATTGAATTCCATTCATCAACACCTCCACTCTGACTCCAAATACGCCTGTCCTGCCAAAGCCACAGCATCACAGTTTCGCTATCGCGGAACTATTCCTTAGAGACACTGGCTGGCGTCACGTCTACAGTTCTGGCAGCTCGCTCGCACACGGCACACACGTACTTGAGGATGATGCCCATGGCCGTGGAGCTGATCTGTGGCGGCATCTTCAATATCTTGTGGCCGCTCGTCTTGCCCTTCAGCAGGTTCGTGAAGAACGGCGTGCATGCATGCAGGACGAGGCTGTGCGCCTGCAGAACCAGCCAGCATCAGGCAAGCAGGCCAGTCACAGTGCCCAAACACACGTGGGAATCAGCAGTAGTAAGACAGAGACTGAGCACTCAGTGTGAAAATGAGAACAGGAGCACGCTTCTTTGCCCATAGTGTGCACACAATCTAAGCCCATCTAATGTAGCTGTGCCTGGAAGGGTGCTTAGGTCTCGCCTTAGCCCGAATTACAACAGAATATGGGGAAAAAAGCACATGCTGAAACAATGAAACTTCACCACACACAAGTCAGCGTCAGTGCAAAAGGCACGGGCTATCATCGCACCGGACGTCACCTTTCCTGACGTAATATGTCGCCTACACACCACTGCAAACCCCACCCCGAATCCAACATGGGCTCACACACCAATCCTATCTAGAACGCAAAACGAGGGGCGCCACACGAGGAGTACCCCGCGACACCCGTGGCCGCGTCTCTCCCGGCCGCCCCACCTCGGCGCGCGCTCACCTTCAGGTCCGTGTGCGGGAAGCGCAGCGTGAGGTCACAGTGCTCCTGCTTGTCGTACAGCGCCTCGATCCGCTGCGCCAAGAAGTTGCCCCAGTTGTCGACGCGGATCGGCTTGCTGGCAACGCCGGACACGACGCGCACGGCCGGCGCCGCGTCCGTCGCCGAGGCCATCGCTGCAGCCGCCGCCAGCCCGGCCCGCGCAGGCCGCAGCCGCTACCAGCCCGGAGCCGCGCGGGCCGCCGCTACCAGCCCGGAGCCGCGCAGGCCGCCGCTACCAGCCCAGAGCCGCGTAGGCCGTCGCCGCTACCAGCCCGGAGCCACGCAGGCCGCCGCTACCAGCCCGGAGCCGCGCAGGCCGTCGCTACCAGCCCGGAGCCGCGCAGGCCGTCGCCGCTACCAGCCCGGAGCCACGCAGGCCGCCGCAACCAGCCCGGAGCCGCGCAGGCCGCCGCCGCTACCAGCCCGGAGCCACGCAGGCCGCCGCCGCTACCAGCCCGGAGCCGCGCAAGCCGCCGCCGCTACCAGCCCGGAGCCACGCAGGCCGCTGCTCGCGCCTGCAGCACCACCACCCATGTCAGCTACTGCTGACACATGTGCACAAGTCGCGACAAGTTGCTTGTAACACTGGGAATGTCAGTTAGGCTTGTGGGCTATTTGGCTCAATCATTACAGTTTCAGCATGCTGGACAGCAAATAAATGTTCTGTCTCATGGTAACATGAGTGACAGAGGAGAGCTGGATATAGTGAAATGTTAAATACTAAATGCCACAGCTTAATGGCAGTGCTCCTACAGCTGTGGTTCTGTGAAAGGTCAGTTATGTCAGCACTAAGACATGCACTCCACTGAAAAATCCATGCTGTTGGAAACCAAGTCACAACAAAGGTTATGCCAGCCAGTCCTAATCAACAGCTCAAGCATTCAAGATGTATGCACAATAACAATCAAAAATCAGCATAATTCTTTGGATGATAATTGCACTAGAGTGGAAAATGGCTTTATAACTGTTAACAAAACCTTTCACCCAGAGTACTCTTTCTCAGCGAAATAAACTAAATTAATATGGATACAAAGGTCAGCAAATGACCATAATACACAAAGCTTATGTCTCAAAAGGAAAAGTTACATTAAATTAGAACACTGGATGGCAAGTCACATCATCAAGTTCAAGGTTAAGTTGGTAAGTTGCAGTTGTGCTGATTTTGCTAGATTTTCAGTGTAACTTCATCAATTTCCAGAATGCCCAAGTGAGTCAAATGACAGCCAAATAGTTTCTCACACTAGCATTATCCAATATCACATGCAATGTGTTTGCCATATCATAATACTGATCAGGAGAGCAGTTCAATTATGTTAAACAGATACCTGACAGGTTGTGATGCCTGTATCATGCTTCACTAACCACACCAACGCATGTCTGTTCAGTGGTGTGTAATAATGTGTGATGCTTTAGTCTACAGAAGCTGCAGAGAAAATATCTAGGATATAGTACAGCTGATGCAAGCCTCAGCTATATGGAAACCATAAGCCTGGTACTGATGCAGTTTGCTTCTACCATCCACTGTGATTCTCAATTCTCACAATGTTTTCAGTGCTTACCACATCCTGCACACCATGTGGCCTAATTTTTCCAAAATACTGTTATTATTCCTTACAATGTTTTCCACTCTGAATGTGCCCTATACACCTTAGCCAATTTTTCAAAATGCTGCCTACAATATATTGGCAATTGCACATGCTCCCTGCAATGGGCAGACACCTAATTTCTTACTCAACAAGGATCAAGGGACAATGTTGCAGCCTTACAAACTTACTTACAAAAACTTACAAAAAAGCATGAAGCAAATAAAGCTTCAGAACTGTTGGTTCCGTATTTAGGGGGATTGTCTAGCTCTTTTCCAGTTCTGGATTCCCTAACCTGCATTGCTAGATCAAACAATTTGGAAACCTGCCCTTTCTTAGTATTCATAGTGCAGTGAACATCACATTCACATATTGTATCATATATTATGCTTATAAATATCTATTCACACTAAAAAGTCAATGCAGTGATGTCATCTGTCAATCATCTGTTTTGTTTTATTGAATGATAGCCCCAACCTGGGATACCTCAGCTTTTCCTTTGTACAGAAGGTGCTTATACACAAAATGTATCATTGCCATGGCTGCCAGTATTATGATGTCTTACAAATAGCTTAGGTTAGAAAGAGTTAGAGCCACTGATGTTCAGTCATGTTCACAATTAGGCATATTATGGCCATAACTCCTCTCAACACACAAAATCAGATTACCGGGCATACAAACTGTAATAAAATGGTAATGACTGCAAAATGATGCAATAAACAAAGCATTTATGGAAAAAAGGGAGAATTTCAGACTCAGGTAGGTGAACCATTGATGCAAATGCTGGCAAATCATCGCTTTATTACAAGAGCACATTACCTTCATGCATCATGTGATGCATGAAGGACTAGTCTGCCTGGTCTGTTGCAAAATATGATGAACAAATTGGACCACATTTAGGCAAATAAAAACCATTCACAACCACATTCTGGCAGACAAATGCATCACAGTATGACACAACATACATTAATACATACATTGATTAAATGTGTGAAGTTGTGACCAAACCTTGGGCACCCTACACCTTCCAAAATACGAGTTACAAAAATGGACGGAGGCGGCGATCATTACGCAGATTCCCACACAGCCGAGGCAAATGTACGCACCACAGCACCAACACCAAATAAATCAAGGTAAAGAAAAACCTGTGCTTCCTTCATCCGTCAACTTCCTACTTGGCTCCAGCTCACCCCTTCGTCACTTCAATCTTGTCCCAGCCCCACCGCAACACGGCGGGCGGCCGCTAACACAAACCAGGGGCACGAGCGAGCAACTTGCAAGCGCTAGTAGTGCCTCCAAATATTAAATTGTAATTTTAAGAAATACAGATTGCACGGCGTGAGCTGGCACTAAGAACCAAAAAAAACTCAAACAATTTTTATGTATTCCAGGGAGGGTTATTCTTGCATTTCAATGTGTATCATATTATCTCCTAAGAAACACTTGATTAGAGAAATACGGCAATGTCAAGTATGATCAAGTACAACAAAAATTCTGCAAAACAAATTATGAAATAAGTCAAAGAAACTTGGAAATGTCTAGCTTTGAATGTTTTTGGTAAGCGATTTTTTACAACAGAAGGAGCACATGTTTGCATGATGGACAATACGCATACAACAAGAGGAAAGTACCAGCAATCTTGTGCACAAGTACACACTTGCCCATACTTTGTATTCAAGTCAAGCAACAGTGGTGACCAAATATTGCGCATAATTTGTCTTATTATGTTTTATTGAAGCATTGCATCGGAAATGCGTTGGGCAAATACTAGGTGGTCACTGAGTGGCGTGACTGGCGAGTGATCTGAAGGACATGGCTGTTGCGTTATTTTATTGATGTTATTGTAAGGTTGCGGCCCTGCACCAGCGAAGCCTCTGAGCTGGGTTTAAATATGCGATATCTGCTCGACAAGAGACCCTGTTTCAAGAATCGGAGCAATTCGTCTTACAAAGAACGGTGAGCCGTAGGAGACGGTTGTGTTTGCCTCTCTAAATCCCGATAAGTGTAAGGTAAGGTTAGGTTAGGTAAGGCACTAAAAGTGTTCAAGATATCTGATGTGGAACCATTTGATTACCACTAGCTTTAAATACTGAATCAATGTTTGCAATTTTTATTGTGTGTTGTCCCATGAAAGTGGACATCTGATTTTACCCAGTATTATTGCTTGATTGTGGGTCATTGTTTAAGCTTGAAAAGTTGCAGAAATGCTGGATTTCTGAAGATATGATTGTTGTGTCTCCACAATACCTGTCATTTTGTGCACTGTGTAAGTTAACTCTGCCATCAGAAACAGTTCACTGAAGCCACATCATAATGCCAGTGCCTTCTTGGTGAGGCTGTTTAAAGTTGCAGCAGACTTATTTGCTTTGTATTTTGTGTGTCTTCAGCCTAAAGATCATGTTTGTGATAAAGGCATAATATTTCATACACTGATAGCTTGTTTGAGGGTTTACTCACCCTATCTGCAAGTGAATGGGCCATCCTACATGTCATTCTGTAAAAATATATCCACTATACTGGACCTTACTTGAAATCATTGTGCTAATGCTGGAGAATGTATGTGCCAAGCTCAGACTAGGTGAAGTCTGACCTGTGAATCATATTGAGTTTTCTTAAAATACAACTTTTTATAGTTTGCTCAATAATTTGCCAGGAAAATCACTATTTTTTCAAAGTTACCTTTCTATTTAATGTAATTTTTGATGACTATGCATCAAATTCTGGCTTATAGATTTACATTGTGAATGCACTGAAATTGTTGTTGGATTTTACACTATAACACACATGTTTGGTGCAGCATTTCCCTTTCCAGTCTGGACTACATAGACCTATTGTCATATTAAGCCTGCTATTGCTCATTAGCATATGACCATTTGCACCAATAGATGCACTTAATTATCATGATGGTATAGCTTTCATGCTGGTCATGGTTATTAGCTCAATGTGTTAAAAGTGATTAAAATACTTCACAGTATTGTTTATATGAAGTCTTCCATATTGCTTAACCATATGATAATAGAACTGGCTCTTGCAAGCTTTTTTAGTATGGAGCATGGCTACCCAGAAACATGCTGCCTTTGCCTTTAGACTGAGCATTGTAATGGTGCTCTGGGTTGTGAAATGAACACTAAATAACCAAGCATCTTATTAACTGTTTATAAATTCTGGAAATTAGTATCCAATTCTTCCCATAAAGTAGTCAACAAAATGGAAATTCCTCACCTTGGAAACAAGTAGACAATGGCAACATGCCCATATTGCTAGGGTAAGCTATGTTCACATTATATTGCCTCATAGTATAGTACAAAATATTTGTCTCTACTATAGTATGCAGTAAGTACTTTGAATATAGAGGAGGTGTGAAATGTTATGTTATCCTACTCTAACTGGAGATGCCTGTTTGTTGAGCAGTGATGTATTTGTTTTTGATGGAACTCATATCAGTTCCTTCTGTTTTTACTGAGAACTGTGTAAAAGAATGTTTGTAAAAGAAACCAATGGCCTTTTTTGGTTTGTCTTGAAAGTATATCCTGGCTTGCCAAATCATGTTTTTTAAGTTGCCCTGTAAAATACTTTATTGTTATCACCAGAATAATTCCTTGTATGATATATTGCTAATCTGCTCACAATACATTGAAGTTTATGGAAAATTGAACACAGTGCTGGAATTCTGGTGGCTGTCTTTTGCTACTCCTTCAATTGTGATGCATGATTGAGGTGCATATATGATAACAGTGCATATATGACAAGCCCTTCAGTACTCCAGGGATATGTTTTGGTGCTAAAATGGTCAGAATGAGAAGAGTATGTCACTGCCATATGATGCATTTTTCTTGATATTTTGGCTGCCCATTATAAGTATTTCTAGAGGACCGAATATGAGTCATTGTGTATGCATGTATGTATGTATGTATTATGTTAAGGAATTGCTTCACTTAAGAAGCACAAATGTCATGCTGTTGGCAATTGTTTTGTGCTAAGGCCTCATACCCTGGCAGGTGCTGAGTTGGCAATGTCTGGTGAGCCGCCACTGCGGTATGGCGCTGCTATCAGCTGGCCTCCAGTACTGCCCATGGAGGAGGAGGATGACGACAGTGTGGACCTGCCATCCACTGTTGATGTCAAGGCCATCAGGGTATGTGTTGCTCTTAAACCAGCTGGGGCTGTTGGTAATTGTTTGATCCATTTGATTAGGTCAATAATGCTAGTTATTGGTCATTGTGTTAATTATTTTTTTTTTGCTGTTGTCATGGTGTCTTGAAGTCTATTGATTGTCATTGCTTAGCTGTTCAGTCACCTGGCATTTTGCCATTCAGAATGCCAGAATCATATGGTAATGACATCTGTGTTGTGTGGATTGAGTTGTGGGGTGTTGATGGGCAGTGATCATTTCAGGACTCACCAGTGCCGGGAGACGCGCCGCCGCTGCCGCCGCCGCCGCCGCCGCCAACCGAGCCGGACGGCTCCGACTCCGGCTCGGGCTCAGCCGGCTCTTCTGACGGCGACCAGTCGGACATCGACTCGGACAGTTCGTCGTCGGGCTCGGGCGGCCAAGACTCGGACTCGGAGAGCTGCGGCTGGTCGGACGTGGCCGACAGTCTGGCCGACGAGCAGCCGGGTCACGTGCGCCCGGCGGCGGCCGCCGCGCCGGCCGCTGGCGCGCACCGCGGCACCGGGCCGGGTCCGCCGCAGCCGGCCGCCGCCCCCTCTCCCCACAGACTCCGGGCCGCCGACCAGCACGTGGTGCCGACGAGGCACGCGGCACCGCCGGCCGCCGCCGCCTCCCCCCATAAGGCTCGGGCGCCAGAGCCGCAGCACGTGGCCCAGTCAAGGCACGTGGCCAACGCGGCCGCAGCGCCGTCGCCGCACAAGGGACGTGCGTTGGAGTCGCAGCATGTGGCCCAAGACAGGCTCCATGCGCCCTCGGCTCCTGCGACCCCCTCCCCCCACAAGGTCAGAGAGCATGACCTGGCTCACCGGACCCCCGGACGTCACGTCGCCTCTCCGGACGTCACGGCCTCCCCACACAAGGCCAGGGCTCCGAACCAGGGCCACAGCAAACACTTGGAGTTTTCTGTCGCCGCGCCTGTCCCACACAAAACCAGGAGCGCGGAGGGACAACATTCGTCGCATGCCAGGCTTGTGTCGCCGACGGCAGGCACGCCCTCCCTGCATCACGTGATTCGAAGTCAAGAGGTGCCACACGCTGCCCAGGCCAAGCACACCGCGCCGCCTACCGCCATGACCTCTCCTCACAAGAGCAGAGGGCAGGAGGCGCATCACCCGGCTGCAGGCAGACATGCGGACGCGTCCGCCGCCGCCGCCGCCGCCGTGCCGCACAAGGCCAGAGGTCACGAGCGGCACCAGCAGGCGGCGAGAAGGCCCGAGCCTGTGTCCGCGGCGGCTGACAAGCCGTCCCACAGAGCTCGCGGTCACGAGTCGCGCCACTCGCAGGGCAGGCACGCGGCCGCCGCGGCCGCCGGTGGCGGCGCGCACGGCGTCCGGGAGCTGCAGCAGCAGGCGGCGGCGCCGAGGGGCCGGCGGGCCTCCGGCACCCCTGCCCTGCAGGCTAAGGCCAGGGCCCAGGAGCCGCCGCCGCAGCCGCTTGGTCCCCGACAGACTGACGCCCGTCACCACTGCCTCGGTGCCTGCCGGGGTAAGAGCGTGGCCGACCGGGCTCAGCATGTGCTGTTCACAATGTGTGCTGATGTTCAGACAGGTGGAAAACGCGATGCTTGCCAAATCGTGACAGTTTGTCGTTCAGGCGCTTTGAATTCCACAATTTGTTTTTTTTTCTCACATGTCATCGTTGTTTACTTACTTTGTTTCTATTGGTATTGGCCCAGTCATTAAATTGATGATTAACTCCTAGTTTCTTTCGCTGCTATGTTAGGTTATGTTTCTTTCACTGCTATGCTGCTGCTATGCCTCACCTAGCTAGTGTGGCTGGTTGCCTGTTTTATGTCTCGCCTGCCATTTTCGTGGCGTTCGTCGTGTGTGTGCGGCAGTCATATCTGACCGTTGCGTACCGTGCCGCAGACACCGTCCAGCCCGCGGCCGCCACCGGTGCTGGCGGTGCCGGCGCCTCAGCCACTCTCTGGCTCTGACGACTCCGAGTTCGAGGTGGCCGTGCTGGGTGGCGTGCGGGCCGCGCTCAAGTCGCTGGAGGACGACGCCGAGGTGGCCGAGCGCGTCACCACGCCTGAGAAGCAGACCTGGTGGAAGAACAAGCTGAAGCAGTCGGCGCAGAGCCGCGGCGAGTCGGGCCAGAGTCTGGTGCGGCCCTGGGAGAGCCGGACGGCCGGCACGCCGCTAGGTGCCGCCGGAGCGCGCCGGCCGCCGCCGGACGCGCCGCCGCCGCCGCGCACCTCGCCCTCGACCGGCCGCAACGGGCTGCGACTGAGCGTGCGCGTGGACGAAAAGGCGGCGAGCCCGCCGCGCCGTGCGCCGCCCGCCGACAGCGACAGCTCGGACGGTGAGCTGGCGGCGGGTCCGGCGGCGGCGGCTGGCCGGCCCACCGCCGCCGCCGCGTCCGCCTCACCAGCCAGCTCAGGCGGCCGCAGTCCGTACGTAAAGATCGGCAACCGGCTGTCGCCCCGCTCGCCCCGCTGCGCGCTGCCATCACCGGGCGAGAGCCACACGCGGAAGCCGTCCCTGTCTGAGATCCTCAACTTGGAAAACAAGAACTCGCACCTGCGTGCCGCGCGCCAGCCGCTGGAGACCGACTACGACGGCGCGCCTAAGCTGCCGCACGAGCTGCGCACCGCCGCTGACGAGCCGGTCGGGCGCGTCGCTGAGCCGGCGGCCGTCGACGTGCGGCCGCTGGACGGACGGCCACGCGGCCGCGTCAAGCCGTCGGAGGTGGCGCCGCCGCCGCGCGCTGCCGTTGTCGAGGCGGCGCCGCGGCTCCGCAAGGCTGCGGCAGCTGCCGAGCCGCGACCGGCGGAACGGGACCGCGGCGGCGACGCCGAGCCGCGCGCTCGAGAGGCGGGCCGGCCGCGCGAGACCGGGCCGCGGCTGCGAGCCACGCCGGTGCCGCGCTCGCCGGCGTCGGACGCCAGCGAGCCGGTGCTCGAGCCGCGCGGCCGAACTACAGTGCTTTCGAAGTCGCCGACGGGCGGCGACAGTGCACCGGAGACGGCTCCGGCCGAGCGGCGGCGCGGTGCCAGCGCGGCCCGCTCGCCCGGCCGCGGCCAGTCATCGCCGGTGGAGGGCCGCCGCCGGGCGCTCGGCCCGGCCCGGCCGCCGGTCGAGCCGCGGCCGGAGCCGGCGGCGCGCGGCACGCCGCGCTCCCGGCCGGCTGGCGCCCGACGGGACGGCCCGGCCGAGCCGGAGGCCGGCGGCGAGCCGGCGCCGGCGCCATTGCCACTCCGCGCGCGACAGGAGGAGGCTAACCGCGGCCAGGCGCTTCTCATCACGAGACGCCGCAGGATGCAGATGCGCAAGCTCAAGCGCAAGCACAAGAACATCGTGGACCCGGTGCTTCTGGCCGACGTGGAGGAGCTGGTGCAGCGGCTGCACAGTCTAGTCATTCCGCGTGGCCCCGGCCGGCCCGGCCCGCCGCTGGAGAACCGGGTGCCAACTATCTTTCAGACGAGAAAGTACACCAAGAAGCGGAAACAGCTCCTCGAGAAGGCCAAGGCGGAGAAAAGAGAGCGACGATAAAGCGAAGAGGAAGGCGAAGAAAGATGTCAACACCCCTCAGGTGAGCTGCCTTATAAAAACGCAATGAAAGACTCGCGTGTTTGTTGGTAAATGTGCGCGTTTTTGACCGCGATAAATGATTATATATATATATATCTATATATATATATCTATATATTTATATATATATATATATGTGTGTGTGTATGTATGTATGTATGTATATATATCTATATATATATATATATATATATATATCTATATATATATATATATATATATATATATATATATGTGGGTGTATGTATGTATTATATATATATATATATATATATATATTATATATATATATATATATATATATATATATATATGTATATATATATGCACCGTCAACTATTTTGAACAGGTCAAAAATTTTTGTCTCCTCATACAGTGCTGCTTACCGACGCTCGCCGCTTCAATCATTTTACGATATGCAAGACAAACACTGTGGTGGTGCCTGTCTGTCGAAGTCGTGGTGGCTCACATAATTGTTTGCGATAACAAAGCTATTTGTACTACCTTCACGCCACTCGTAAAATGTTGGTCAGGAGAGGTCCCCTACTGAACCCCGCCTAGCCAAGGGCCGCACGATAACACCCATATCACGTATCTCATAGAAGAAATATACGCAGCAGCCTCCCTTATCCGGTATTCTGTTAGACGCTTTGTACGGCGGTGAATAGGCGGGGCAGTTTTGTGAGAGGCGTCGGTCACTTTGGTGCTAATGATGCATCATCTCACGAATGATATTCTGTGAGAGGTGTCAGTTGCTGTGGTGCTGGTGATGCATCATCTCACGAATGATGTTTTGTGTGAAGTGTCGGTTGCTATGGTGCTAATGATACATCATCTCACCGACGATGTTTTGTGGGAGGTGTCGGTTGCTATGCTCCGAATGATGCTGCCTAACGGCCGGAGCCGGACACCTGCGCGAACCAGGCAAATTGGGTACGATGCGTTGAGAACTCGTAGTTCCTTCAGGGTGGGCGGCAAAAAGGTCACCGATCAACCATCATGTGCACGCTAGTCGCCGGTCGCATGTAAATATTGACTGATAGTGGTCCGGACATGGCTGACAATGTCAGTCGACAACATCGATGAATTTTTAATGATATACGCTTCCAGTAGCCGTGATCTAAGCATTGTGGAAAGAAAAGCATTGAAAGCATTGTTGAATCTAAGCGTGTTGAATGTGTGTTGGTAACGGTGAACTAGCCTACCGCTACCACGCCCGTGTAGTTGCCGTGGTCCCTCGCTGGAGTCTCTTTACAACTGGTCTTGATTGCGGCTGCTTTCGAAAGAAGAGACCTCGGTAGTTTCCTGCTCGACTACCGTCGTGTCTGTGTGGAGGACAGTTCTGACACCAGGGCAGTTTGTGTATGTTGTGTCAACCTGTGCAGTGTAATTTTTTTGCGTGTTTTTTCTGATTCAGTTGCTGAGGTCTTATTTTAAGTTTTACCAAATCGCCAAAATGTGCGGATCCCTTTTTTGCGCTTGAGTACGCATAGCCAGGCCCACGCATGAAAATGCATTCTTGCAAGTACGATTGTCTTCTCTCCCAGCCGCCATGGGCGCCAAATGACCACCGCAGTCGGCGCGCCCCAGACTCCTATAAACAGCAACAGATCTCCCAGCCGTCTGCCGGTGTTGATTTCGTGGTGTTGCGACACTGGATGGTCGTTCGTGGGTGTTGCGACACTGGGTGGTCGACGCCTGGGGCCAGTTTCCAGTGGCGTTTTGTTTTGATAACTTTTAGCGGTGTGGGAAGGCTATGCTACGTTCACTTCCCAATGGAGCAGGCAAGTCACTCATGACCAAACGGCTTGCATGCAGATGTCTGATAGGCTGCGCAGTACGACGTAGACGGTTGCGTTTCTTCTGCTGGAGTGACGCGAGGTTGCGGTTGTTTTAAATATATTTAGTTCTAGAAAACGTAACGGCTGAACTGCTCCACTCAAGTCGCGACACACCCAAAAGCTGCACACCATCATGTCTGCTCAGGTTGATACTTGTGCTCCTGTGAGACTCCCTCGACCCCGGTCCAAGTATTCTCTGTCTTGCTGGACCTGTATGTGGTGTATTCGTGTATCCCATGTTTTTTCTTCACTCTCATGTGTTGTGCGTTTGTCCTTACGGTGATAGATTTTATTTGCATTGCATTTCAGGAGGACGAGGCGAAAGAGCAGTGCCTGCCACTGAAGAAGCGGTACCACCACATCAGCCAAACGATAACCGACTCGGCCAGTGCCGCTCCAGAGAAGCCCCTGGAAAAGCCGCTCGTCGCCAAAGCTGCTGAAAAACCGCAAGTTCCCAAAGCGGCGGAAGTCCCTGCTCCCAAAGCGGAAAAGGTTCCGTTGAAAGCGGCGGATAAAGTTCAAACCCCGAATCCTCTGAAAAGTCGTCACCGGCCAGAGGCGTGGACAAGGCTCAGCCTGCCAAGGCTGCCGACAATAAATCTGTGATCTCGAAATCGTCGGAGAAATCTCAAGCTGTTAAGGTGTCTGACAAGCCAGTTAGCTCGAAGTCATCGAGTAGGCCAACCTCTGCCAAATCGGAGACTTCTGCGATTCAAAAGCCAGCCGCTGCAGCGGGTCACAAGACGGCTGGGGCTGCGAGTCACAAACCGTCTGCGGCTGCAAATCACAAACCGTCGGCCGTGGCGAGCCAAAAGCCGTCTGCCGCAGCGAGTCAGAAGCCATCTCCTGCGGTGGGTCAAAAGCCATCTGGTGCATCGAGCCAAAGGCCTCTGCCGCTGTCAGTCAAAAACAGACGGCGGCGTCAGGTCAGAAGCCGGCTGCTGCGGGCGAGTCAGAGGTCGTCCTCTGCGGCGGGTCGCAAGCCGTGTGCCGCAGTGAGTCAGAAGGCGTCCGCCACGGCGAGTCAAAAGACGCCTGGTGACTGCCAGCGAGCCTCCGGCCGCCGCCAAGACCGCGCGGGCTCCCGAGAAGCCGCGCGGCCGCGCTCGCGCAGCAGCGGACGCGGACGCGACGCCACCGCCCGCCAAGTCGAGGTCAGGACCTGAGGGCGGCGCGGCGGCGCGGTCGGCCTCGGCACGGCGCCGCGGCCGGAGCGCAGAAGCCGGCCGCGGACGCCGAGCCGGAGCCGCGCCGGTCGCGGTCGGCGCAGGCGGACGGCCAGGAGCCGCCGCCTGCTGGCGCCGAGCCGCCGCCGGCGCGGCCGCGCACCGCGGCAGCGCCGGCCGCGGCGCCGGCGGCCGTGCCGGACGCGCTGCCGGCCGGCGACGCCGACCTCGGCCCCGCGGAGGCCGACCGCCGGCAGTCAGGCGGGGCAGTCCGTCCGGTCGCCGCCCGACGCCGCCTCGCTCGTCGTCAAACGCAAGCGCCGCAAGATCAATCGCACCGGCTTCCCCAACAAGAAGCGCAAGATCCGGCTCAAGTCAACGCCGTCCACGCCGGAGTCGGCCGCCCGCCACCCCGGAGACGCCTGCCGACACCCCCGAGGACGCCGACGGCCGTGCCCAATACGCCGGCGGCTACCCCGGAGAGGGCGGCGGCGGACGAGCAGGAGGCGCCGCCGCTGCGCCGCCGCCCGCGCCGTCCGCCGAGGACGCCGAGCCCGGGCCGGAGCCGGCGGCGCGCGGCAATCATCTGTCGCTGCGCGCGATGCGGCGGCCGCGACGGCAGACGACGGCACCGGCGCCGATGCCGGGCGCCGTCGTCGGCACAGCTGCACCAGACGCCGGTGGTGCGGCTGGACAAGATGCGGGAGCCGTCAGGTCGGAAGGCGGGCGCCCGGCCGGCCCATCGAAGCCAGCGGCAGCCTGTTGCGGCTGTGGCGCCCCCCGCCCACGCCACTGCTGCCGCCCACCGCCTCCGCCTCTGCCCCCGCCCCTACCGCGGCCGCCGCGGCCCCCTCACCCCCGCCGCCGCGGCCGCTACCCCGGCCGCCACGGGCCACCACCCCAGCCGCCGCCGCCACCGCCGCCGGCAAGTGGGTCGGTACCGGGCCGGTCTGCAGACAGAAAGCGCAAGAAAGAGGCGGTTTCCGGTCCCAACAAAAGGGCCCAGAATGGAGAAGCCCGACCTGGCCTTGCACGAGGACGACATCTACTTCGAGAGGGGTGAGGACACCGTTTCGCATTCGCACTTGTCCTGCGCACCTTGTTAGTGCGTGAACTGTGAAGGACATGCGCCCATGAATAGCTCAAAGATGACTGCCGTGTACATTGACACTGCCGTTGCGCGGTGGCCTTCCCTGGCCGGATGGCTTCGCCTCGCGTAGCGCGGTCCTCGCCGTCGTGTTGCGTCGTCTGGCCTCGGCCCAGCGTGCTAGCAGCTGTCCGTCGGTGCCGCAGCGACCTGCCCATCTCGGAGTCGGGTCCGTCGAGCGAGGTGCCCTCGGGTGACGAGCTGCACCGGCCGGCCGCCGCCTCCAGCAAACACAAGCTGGCCGCGCCCCGCTGGAAGAAGAGAAGTACCTCACGGCCGGCCTCTTCTCCGACTTCTACAAAGTGGAAAGGTGCGGTCGCTCGCCGGCTGGTGTGGAGGCTCCGAGACGCCGTGACTAGCCGCCTCAGCTGAGGAATTTACCACGCGATAATGGTCTGCTTTTGCTCCTGCTCTCTGTGTTGTCTTCTGTCCGCTTCCTTCGTCAGAGTGCTGACCGACTTGGCCCTGCATAAGGTGTTTTTGGATGCGTGGCAGCCTGTGACAATATGTCATCAAAAACCCTATCCTTTCGCGAA